AAATCTGAGAACAGTCATTTTCCTGATCTAAATCTAGCTATGGCTGCAAACTGATTACTTCTTCTCTTTTTTAACAAACTGTACTGCTTAAAAAACTAACATCAACTCTCAAACATGACCAGGTTATACTTCAATATATTTATTCTGTTTTGTGAAAAGTGGCAGCTCTGTGACACAGTTGTTAGAGCTGTTGCCTCTCAGCGAGAAGGTTGCCAGTTCAAATCCTGGCTGGGACCTTTCTAGGTGGAGTTTGCATGTTCTCTCTGTGCTGCGTGGGTTTTCTTTGGGTACTTTGGTTTCCTCCCACAGACCAAAAACATGCATGTTAGGCTTATTGGAAACTCTAAATTACCCCTAGGTGTGAGTGAGAGAGTGAATGGTTGTTTGTCTCGTTTGTCTCTATGTGTCCCTGTGATGGACTGGAGACATGTCCAGGTGTCCCTGTGATGGACTGGAGACATGTCCAGAGTGTACCCCAGCTCTTGCATAGTGGTAGCTGGATATGGGCACCAGTGACCCCCATAACCCAAAAAGGCATTATCCAGTGTAGTGCATTTAGCCAATGTTGTTAAGATATTTATTCCAGAGCTAATTGTTGTGCTTACTGAACCTTACAATTTGACACTTTCAAACTGATCTGGGTCAGTAATAAACAACAGCACACAAAACTGTGTTTGACATGGCAGCTTGAATTTAAAATAATACATTTATAATTATGTTTCCAATTTGCAAATGTCACAAAACAGACAGCTAGTGTCTGTTAGACAGCTAGTGTGTGCTAGTGAACAGTTAGTGAATAAATGCATACAGACAGCAGATGTTCCAAAGGACCAACAAATGTCTCAGGCTGTCACTGGATGTGTATCTACCAAATTGTTTGGCATGTTTCACACATGCAATCACAGGCTGTAAATATACTCTTGTGTCAGTTGTTGAGTACACCTGGTCATAAATGGCAGAGGTGGAAATACCTCATATTTATATGTCAACAATAAGTGAATGGTTGTTGTTCCGTAGTGGATACTTTCAGTTTACTTTTTTTCACCAGTGTAATTTGTTTTCCTTTCAGGATGTGGTGCCTCATCACAATCAGTTGATACATAAACAAGGTGCGTGCCTTACATAAAATGTTTACTGGATACATGTATTACATTAAACATGTTCTGGATAGCAATGCATAATACAGTCTGTTAATTGCCATATACCCACAGCATACTTAGATTCTGGGAACCTACATGCAGGTAACTGGTACTTGCTGAATACAAATCTTGTTTTTTATCTAATTATATATTATTTAAGTACCTGGTACATACAGCGTACATTTGTGACACTTATAGGGTATGTATCTGTACTTAAAGGTTATGTACATGCAGGGTACATACAGCTGTACTTCTATGGTATCTAAAGGGTACATGTACATTACCAGGTTTTATTGTAAATTGACTTGTTTCCGCCCATACTTACAGGGCACATATCTTCTACTTACTGAGTATGTTTTAGTATGTACTTAACAATGCACATACCTCATACCTTCAGGGGAACATGCAGGGTACCTGTGAGGACTAGGCTGTATCATGAGTGATTTTTACTCTGTACTTACCAAGCATGCACATTATACTTACAAAGGATGCACAGTAGTAGAGTTGGTATCTACTTAATATCTACAGGAGTGCCAACAGAGATACTTAAAGAGTAAAGAAGTAACATTTAGCTCGTAAATACAGGGTACTTATAGGATACTTACAACATACCTACAAGAATTGAGATTTATTAGGAAATAACTTGTCACCCTGTACTGGTTACTTACCATGTAAGCTATTAGCTATTAAAACTGTAAATACCAATTAGTACTAGGTGCACACTTTTTAAGTACATAAGAAGTGCCCTGTATATCAAAATATAAAGTAATTTTTAAATATAAAACTGTCCCCATTGGTATCTTGCAAGTATCCCTGTAATCTGAAAATGCCTACTGCATCCCCAATAAAATACAGGTCCATAAATAAATAAATACCAGGTGCATATCTGGTAAAGACTTCCTGTGGGCCGACCACCTGCAGGAGGGGCCATATGAGTCAGGTGCATGACGCCATGGGCAGTGGCCGAAGGTGGGGACCTTGGCGCTCTGGCCCTGCCTTACCAAAGTTGGCTCTTGGGACATGAAATGTGACCTTTCTGGCACAAAAGGAGCCTGAGTTTGTGCATGAGAATGAGAGGTAGCGAATAGCTATAGTTGGGCTCACCTCGAAACACAGCATGGGCTCTGGAACCAATCTCCTTGAGAGGGGCTGAACCTTATTCCACTCTGGAGTTGCCCATGTTGAGAGGCGTTGAGCTGGTGTGGGTCTACTTGTAGCGCCCCAGCTTGGTGCCTGTGTGTTGGAGTTTTCCCTGGTAGATGAGAGGGTGGCTTCCATTTGCCTTCGGGTGGGGGGACGGGCTCTGAATGTTTTCTGTGCCTATGTACCGAATGGCAGTTCAGAGTATCCAGCCTTCTTGGAGTCCTTGGCAGGGGTGCTGGAAGGTGCGCCAGCTGGGGACTCCTTTATTCTGCTGGGGGACTTCAATGCCCATGTGGGTAATGACAGTGTGACCTGGAGGGATGTGATTGCGAGAAACGGCCTCTCTGATTTGAACTCGAGCAGTGTTCTGTTGATGGACTTCTGTGCTAGTCATAGTTTGTCCATCACAAACACCATGTTCAAGCATAAGGGTGTCCATAAGTGCACCAGGACACCCTATGTTATAGACCAATAATTGACTTTGTGATCTGATTTGTGGGTGTTTGTTTTGGACACTCGGGTGAATAGAGGAGCTGAGCTGTCAACTGATCACCACTTGGTAGTGAGTTGGCTCAGATGGTGGGGGAAGACACTGGACAGACTTGCTAGATGCAAACGTGCCGTGAGGGTTTGCTGGGAACACCTGACAGAAGAACCCATGAGAAAGATCTTCAACTTGCACCTCCAGGAGAGCTTTAACCATATCCCAGCTGAGGTGGGGGACATTGAGTCTGAGTGTGTCATCTTCCATCTATCCATCCATCCATCCATCCATCCATCCATCCATCCATCCATCCATCTATTAAATGTGACCTCTCTGGCTTGAAAGGAGCCTGAGCTAGGTTGGGAGGCTGTGGCTGAATGGTTTGAGCAGTTGTCCTCCAATGCAAGACTTGGGGGTTCAAATCTACCAACAGTCACATGCCGAAGTGTCCCTGGGCAAGACACTGAAACCCTCATTGCCTCCGATGTGTGTCCCATCGGTCTATGAATATGATTATAGCGCTGATTAGTCTCTTTAGAATGATATGTTCAATTAGCTTTGTAGAGATCTAGTAGGGTACTCTATGAATGGGTAAATGAGGACACAGATTGTAGTGGAAAGCACTTTGAGTATCTTGATAAGATAGAAAGGCGCTATTTAAGTACAGTCCATTTACCATTTACCATTATATCCTGCTTGTTCCAAAGTCATGTAGCGGGGGCAGCAGCTTGAACAGGGAGGCCCAGACATCTCTTTCCACAGTCACCTCTTCCAGCTTCTCTGTAGGGGTTCCTTGAGGGGTCATAGGAGTTAGAAGGCATTCAACCATGTTCCATGGGGTACACGGGGGGGGGG